CTTATTTATGTGCCACAGCGTAAAAATGACTAAAAAATTACTGAATGGTCCTCTTGACTATTTCCTCTAACATTATGAGTCCCGGGGCTATAGCCCTACTATTCTCACCCCACCTCCTCAATCCGCAACTGGAAATAAGGCATAAGTATATAAATAAAAATTACATACTCTGATAAATTGAAGAACATTTGTTTCTTTATAGTTGTTACTTTATATAAAAAGTGTCGCCTAATTTTATAAAAAAAATTATAAAAGAGCGAGGTTTCAAAAATATTTGCTCTAATAAATTTATTTTGCTTAAAGTTTTTTTGTGTTAAAAGCTTTTTTTTTTTTTTTAACTGTCTTCAAGTTAATCTTATAGCGCTTTTTTGTTTGTTTTTGAAATGTTTTCAAAACAACTATAAAATCTGGCCGGTATATATAAGTAAATATTATTTCCGTGGTCAATTATCGCGTGCGATTGCACCCGCTTCCTGACCAAGCCTGATATATATATAAATTTTAAAATATTTTGTTTTACGGACTTAAATGGAAACATACATAAATTAGAATGTTCTCAAACATCTTAGTGCGGAAAAATAAAAAAAGAATATTGGCAAACACAAAAAACCCACCAAATCTACGAACAACTAATTCTAATGGTTCCAAAGATACTAATTGAACTTTATAGAGTATTTAAAAAAAACTAACTGAATGTCCTGAGTATTCTGTTGAAATATTTTTAAAAATTGTATTATTTGAATTTTGTTAGGTTTTCGTGAGATTTCTAGCATAAATTATTTTAAGAATGTATTATCAAACGAACTATTATTTTAATTCTTAGAGCCACATCTACAAAGCTATAAATGTTTTAAACTAACATTATTTGTTTAAAATCATAAATGTTTAAAATTTATATTTTTTAACTTGTCAACGTTTTGTTAATATATTATAGATTTTATTAATATATTCTTTTTTTTTTTATATATAAGGGATGTATTTTTTATGTATGAAATGTGTTTTTATGTATGAAATGTATTTTTAACTATGTAATTTTATATATGTGTATTTTATTCAAATGTAATCTTTCAAAGCAATTTGTGCGATTGATTTTGTAAACAAAAATATTTTCAATAATAACTGCGTTTTCAATGAAATTATTAATATTCGTCAAAGTTACTACAAATAATTTTAACCACTAATCAATTTTCCTCAGTGTACCCGATAACTGATTCTTTCAATGTCCCCCCCCCAAAAAAAAAAAAAAATTTCTTTTTTTGGGGGGATATTTCCCGGGGGGATTTTTTCTCGGGGGATATTATTCGAGGGGATATTTTTCGGGGGGATTTTTTCCTTACACATTTGAAACAATTCTTACTAAGAAGAATTGTTTCAAATGTGTTAAACTTTTTAAATAAATTATAGAATATTTCACATAAACTATAATTATGGTGGATTCTATCAATTATTACAAATTCCCTTTATTTTTATACACCTACAAAATTTCTCTGTAGAGTGATATACTTAATTTATTAGCAGATGCTAACTCAGGTGAAATGATATTTTGAGATCGCGATCGCTTTTTTACAACATTTTGATTAGATTTCTTTGGTTTCATAAATTCTTCATCTGAGGTTTCAGTGCCAGATGTAGACTTGTCAGATAAGTGCATTGAATCAATGTGACTTGTATTTTCAGCTTCTTTTTTTCGCTTTTTTTCCTGAAAACGTCTGGACTCATCTAATTCTTTTATTTTCTGGACACGTTCTTCTGTTTTTGCCAATGCCATGTCAACTCTTACATTTGAAACAATTCTTACTAAGAAGAATTGTTTCAAATGTGTTAAACTTTTTAAATAAATTATAGAATATTTCACATAAACTATAATTATGGTGGATTCTATCAATTATTACAAATTCCCTTTATTTTTATACACCTACAAAATTTCTCTGTAGAGTGATATACTTAATTAATATTTTTGTATTTACATTTTTGTTTTGCTTTATATAAATTTTATTCTAACTTTATCATTATTTTAACTTTTTTATTTATATTTTATGTCTAAAAACTAAATTGTTATATTTAGTGTCTAGAAATGAATTGATTGATGAATTTCTTTCAAAATGTTGCTGTGAAATAAGCTATAGCATTGGAAGTGATTGGATTCGATGGGGAAGACACCTAGGCTTAAGTGATTCAGATCTTGATAACATAGACTCTGATAATAAAAAATCTTATGAGAAAGCGGATAATGTTTTAAAAAAATGGAAACAAATAAATGGATATCTTTCATGGGAGCGATTAGAAAAAGAGTTAATAGCTTTTAAACGCTGCGATATTACATTTAAAATTGAGCAGAAGTTTAAAGGTGAGATTAATAAAACAGTAACACCTCTTTTTCTTTCTTATATTTTTCTTTTATGTTCTAATGTTAATGTTTTCCAAAATATTTTTACTAAATTATATGAAAACATATTTATATATTTTTGCAAAACAAAGAACATAGGGTTCTGTGTAACAAAACAAAGGTTGTTATTTTTATTTTGTTTGTTTTTTTAATTTTTAGTTTTAATGATAAAAAAAAAACCGGCTTAACTATAGTAAATTTTAATTTTTAGATTACTTGTCTAGTTTATATAAAATAAGGTAATTAAAAATCTTTGTATTTTTTTATAAGATAATTATTATTTATTTATATTAATTTTATACTATTTTTTTTTCTGGTTGTTATCTTTGTATTCTGGATAGAGGGCCTGTTTATTGTGAAAGAAAATAATCTTATAATATTTTTTAGCAATTTTATGTGAAGTAAATTTTTTTTAGGAATATTTAAATTATCTTTATATTGTTTAAGTGTGTTTTCAGAAAATATTAAGTCTTGAAAAGAAGCATTTTCCCTTAATTGTGAACTTTTAGTTAAAGATACTTATTTTTTAAAAAGGTTTTTTTTAAACTACAAACTTTAATTTAAATATGATTTTAAAAATAAAATTTACTTTTGAAGGAGTGTAAAATAGTAAAGCATAGAATGTAAAATTTAGTTTTGAAGAAATGTAAAATAGCTTTGTAATATTTATTAAAAAATAAATCTCTTTCTTATTATCTGCTAATCAATTCATTACATAAAACATAAGTCTTTCCATCATAAAATATGTGAAAGCATGCTTTTTTTTACAACTTAATATTTTCTGATTAAAAAAAAAGTTTAAAGAAAAAAGTAGAGGGAAGTTATTTTTTTTTAAAAAAAAGATTTCTTATAATTCTTTGAAAGAATTTGTTTTACTATTATTTTTTTTTCTACAGTCTTATTGAATGTCAAATTCCACAAGGTTGTATTTTTAAGTTTGACTTGCAAGAAGATGAATTTTGTAGAAAAGTTGAATTTCAATTATATAGCGATGGAAATAATTGGTCCGTTGTTAATAATACCAAAAGGGCATTTCCATATTACTTAACAAAAAGAAAGAATGCTACATTGTTTGTGAAAGTAGAAAATTTGTTGTTTGAAAATGAAAAAATTAATTTCAAGTTTTCCTTTCAAGATTCAAAAAAAAAAATTTTTCAACATAGTTGTTCTGCTATTATTACAGGTAATATTTTTAACTTTTATTTTTGTATTTTTAACATTAAAATTAAAACAATTCAAATTGAAATATTTCAAAATCTTGAATCATTTTCTAATTTTTAAAATAAACCCAAAAAATATTTTTCTATTTTCAAATGTGTCTCTTTTTTTTTTATGATTACTTTTTAAATTTTAAAATTACTTACTCAGGCCTTGCGATAAAGCGTTGGCCAATGTGAATTTTATGTCGTCCAAGAGCGATTTTGTGTGTAGCTAGGGATATTTGCGTTTTTTTAGTGTATTTGTTTGTTTTTTTGATTTGATCATACTTGTTTGGTCTTTTGGATTTTGATTGGACTAAAGCATTAGGTTTCAAGTTTTATGATGATAATGTTTTCATCAATTTTAATTCATTAACTAAAATTATTCTAGATCTTTACTTCTTTATATTTCAAACTTGTTTTATGTTTTTTATGTTATAAACTGTACAAAAGCATGAATAAAAAGTTATAAAAAACAATATATTGTTTTATATAGCTTATATAGCTTTTTATAATAACAATATAATACCCTTGAGAAGGAGAGGGGGATTTCAAATGAAAAAGTTTTGTGATGAAATTTTTTGGCATTAATTTGAGCCCTATACATTTTACTTTTTTCATTCAGGTAACTGTTACTATGAGGTGAGCTATAATGGATTGCTTATTGCTACACCTAAACCAATTTTTAACAATGAATTTAGTAAAAATATAAAAATATTACAATCTGTGGATTGGAGAAAAATAAACAACATTTGTTTAGATAAAGTACCTGATGATATACCATTAGAATTTATGGCGTTAGATTATTTTAATAGAAATTTTACTTGTTGTAATGAAGTTATTTTTGTCTCTCCTTCTAATGCTACCAATGACAATTTAGATTTTGTTGTTTCCAAATTTATTGATTTATTTACTGTGAATGGTGAAGGCCTACGTGCTGTATTTCCTGGCTACCGTTTACGTTATCATGCATCTCTTTTAAAGTGTTATGTTGAAAAATTCACTAATTATAACGATGAAAATAGAACAACAATTTTTTTCTGTAAGTTCAACCTTGTTATAATTGCTCGTATTGTTACATCTACGGATTGCATCAAGCTGGAATATGAAAGCTGTTTAAATGATATCATATTATTTGTTAATGTTAACAATCCTGTTATCAGTGCTAATAAGCTGATTATTTTGGGAATTGTAGTTTTACCTTTACATAATCGAAAACATTTAAAAGAAGAGTTATTTTATCACTTTTCTGAGGATTTTAATTTAGATCAAATTTTATTTCTTTGTAAAGATGACTTTGAAGGTGAGAGCTTTGAAAGTTGGTGGAGATCAGTTGTGGCATACTGCATGAAAAAAGTAAATACACAAAATAATAAAATACTATTTAAAAAAACTTATCAGCTTAACTATGATCCTAATGGCTAAAGTTGACCATTGTTATCCCACATTAGAATCAGATACTCAAAAACAGATACAAACATTGCTTCTCAATGTTGAACAATGGAATGCTATCAATGATAAATCATTGAAAAAAATCATCACTGGAGGATATGGTTCAGGAAAATCAATAGTAGGAAAGGAGATTGTTAAAAATTGTATTACACAGAATTCAGAAAATCCTTCTACCTTGTATTATATATGTTGTAACCATTTCTCCTTGTATGAATGTCATATGAAAGAGTTTGTTGACGGCATAAATAAAACTTCAAATATTACAGTTGTTTGTGATAGTTTATATAATTTATGGAAAAGCATGTGTCAGAACAAAAGTATTTCAAATAAGTACATTTCTCTACCAAAATTACTAGAGCATTTGGCTAGCATCAACAGTAATAAAGTATGTTTTATACTTGAAGAACTTTCTGAAGAATATGTTAAAAAAGAAGATGCAATTCAACTGAAATATTTGTTTACATCTATATTAAAAGATTCTTTAGTTGTTTTTATTCCTGAGAGTATTACAAAGAATCGAGAATTGGTAACAAATAAACAAAAGCATATACTACAAAAAAATTTCTTTCGACAAGAAATAATAGGAATGAAGGTCATATCTCTAAATAAATCAATGAGAGTTACTGAATGCAATAAATTATTAATAGATATTGCTCAAAAAACTATTTGTGAAACAAAAAGTGTTTTAAATATTCCAAATAAAAACTTCAGAATATTGCAAGAAAATAAAAAAAGCAATTTGTTTGAAAATGAAAATTTGCAGAATGTGGAACATTATGTGAAAGATAATAAAAAAGTTAATGACACATCACATTTTGACACAATTAAGATTACTAAAAATAACAATTATGCATCTGTCAATTTTGAACAAGGTAATAGATATGCATCAAAAATTTCTAATGATAAAACTTTTGATAACTATTCAGACTCTAATTCAAATCAATCTTCAGAGAAAAAAGAAAATAAATTTATTGATACAGTTGTTAAAGATTTTCATGATATTGATTTAGATTACATGGCAAAGATAATAACAACAAGTACTAATAATATTAATCCAAACATTTATATGGAGACTGAATATGTTTTCAAATCTGGTATTATAGGACACTCCATTAAAGGACAAAAACCCAAAGTTGTATATTTACCCTTTTATGATATAACAGATAAGCGATCTGTAAAAGTATTATCCATTATGTTAGAAAAACTTTGTTTTAACGCTCTTAATGGACTAAGAAAAACTGTGGTTATATGCAAAAGTATGGAAGAAGTGATATCTGTTGCATATGCAATAGATATAATTAAAAATTTTAAAGCAGTTACTTATTCACCACATTTGCAGAAATACTCACCATCATTAGAAACAAAATTCCAAATTAAAAAGCAATTAAGAAATGACATGGACATTCTCGTAACTGACTGCAAAGGGTTTTCAGGTGAAGAATCTGAATCTGTAATTGTATTTGTGAGTCCAGAGGAAACTTATCTTCGGCATGTTCTTGTAGATGCTATTTCAAGATCAAACTCATATTTAACAGTGTTTGTTAAGAGTTGTAGTAATAACAACAAGCCTTTAAATAAGGATAAAACTATCAAAAATGTTTTAACTAATTGGTCAAAAGAGTTTGTTGAAAAAATTACAATTGCAACATCCAATACAGAAAATCGAAAATCAACAGATGTTTTTTTTGTAATTAATGAGAATTGCAAAGTGTTTATTGATCGCGGATCTACTAATGACTTTGAGAAATATAAGAAAAAATTGCAGTTCCAAATTTTTCATGAAAATAACTTTATGTAAGTCTTTTTTTTATTTGTTATTAAAGCAGATTTAAAAACAAATGTTATATTATGTATTAGCTTGATGTTAAATTTTTTTGTGTTTTTTTATATGTATATAAAAAAAAAAGTATATATATATATATACATACATACATACATACATACATACATACATACATACATACATACATACATACATACATACATACATACATACATATAAGTTTAAAATTAAAATAATCCTAACAAAAATTAAATCCTTGATGAAAAAGCAATAGAAACTTGTAATTGTAAACAAAAAAGCAACTGTCCAATGAATAGAAAATGTTTAACAAAACACAATGATTTTATAGTGTATTGTTCCATCCTTAAAACATGTTTAACAGCTATCTGGTCCACAGTTCAATAAAATTAAAAAAGATATAATAAGATTTTTTTTAGAGTTGGCTTTCAAAATGGTAAGTAAAAGTAAAGTAAACATAAATAAAAAAATTGCAAACTTTCTTGATATCACATTTAATCTCTCTGAAAATCCATACAAGCCTTTTAAAAAATCAAATGATAAACTATAGTATGGTAATATTAACTCAAATCAAATCCCAAATTCTAAAATAAAACCTAATTTTAATTAACAATAAGCAAAACTCTTTAAATAAAAATGTATTTAGTTCCGCATAATAAAATTTTAAAGATGGCCTCAAAAAAGTGGCTTTTAAATTTTTGAACTAAATTTGACCCTGAAAAAAAGAATACAAATAGAGAAATAAATCTAGAAATATATGTTAGTTCAACCCCCATGTAGCAAAAATGTTTCTACTAACATTGAAAAACTGTTTTTAAAATTGGTTGATAAACACTTTCCTCGCTCTCTAATAAATTACATACATTTTAAAATCAGGATTCAATTAAAGTTAGCTACAGTTGTACAAAAAATATAGAAAAAATTATGATTTTCTAAACAAAAAAGAATCCTAAATGAAAAACAACAGCAATATAATAAAATAAGTAAAATAATCAATATTAATGATTTAGGCCTTTATCATGATGATGGTTTAATGGTGCAGAAAATCTAGTTCTCAATAAATTAAAACTAAAAATAAAGATAAAAACTCGATGAAAAGAAAAGATGTTATAAATATTTTTTAAAATATTTTTAACATCATTCAAATCTTTAAATAAAAAAGACTTTAAAAGAAACCATGCTGTCAAATTACATATGGGAATTAAAAGATAAAAATATGATGATTTTAAATTGAAATAGTTGATATTTAAAACTACACCTGCGTATAATAATAATTCCAAATATGAATGAAAAATTTGAATTGATTACACATGAGAACCAAAAATATTTATTTAATTAAAAATCAAAATTGATTTGTAAATGTTGGCATGAAAATAATAGGTTTTTCCTAAAAGCTATAAAAATATGTAAGCTCAAAAAATAAAAACAAAAGAAAGCAGTTCTGAATAACTGTTTTTTAAAATAGTGTCAGCATGTTCCACAAATGTGTAAAATTTTACATTAGCTAAGATATTTATAACTTATTATAATTTAGTTTTTGTTATAATTTGAAGTTTTATTAATTTGAACATTCATTTCTAATTAATTTGATGTCTTAATTGATGTAACATTGTGAAATGAAAAAAGTTTGATAAGTGGGTTTGTGCATGACTGATAGTTTTAAATTTAAAAAACTCATGTAAATAAATAAAAAAAAATACATCAATAACTTTTTATAAATTTTCTTTCATTAAATTAACTCTAGCTTTTTTTTATTTTCTATTTCTCTTTCCAACTCTGCACTTAGTTTTCTTTTAAGTTTCTGTCCCAATTCTACTCTTTGTTGGCCATCTATAAATACAACCCTTTACATTTTTGTGAAACAAATTTTTAATACTTTGTTTTCCTCTATTTACAAAAATTTTTCAGCAGAATTTTTTGGAATTTTAGGCTGTTTTATGGAATCCTTTTTAACATCTTTAAGCTTTAATTTTCTATAATTGCATTTTGCAATGTAAGTGTAATAGAAAAAGAAATTTAAATCAATGAAGCAAAAGCTATATATTTTTTAATTCAGGAGCTTATCTTAGTTAGGAGTTATCTTAATAGCTCCTGAACCACCACTTTAAATAAGCTAACATTGACATATGGTTACCATATAGGGCCCATACAAGTCGTCAGTTAAGGCCCATATGGGAAGACCAACGATATCCTACCGGATCTTGGTTGCAGTTTCCATATGGGGCCCATATGGGTATGTCTGCCAGGTATCCCGTATGGGTCCCACTCAAATCAAAAAAGGATTTAGAACACAAAAAATTTAAAAAAAATACAAATTTAATATTTAAAGTGTCCTTCTTTGGCTTGATAGCTAAGAAGAACTTGTCTCTGCATTAATTTGACTAATTTAATGCAAATCTCGTGTGGCGCTTTTAACCAATACTTGTTCAGAAATTGCTTTAAATGCTCATTTGATTGAATTTTATGGTTTACTAATTGAGTCACGATCTATGACCAAATATTTTTTATTGGGTTGATATATGGTGATCTAGGGTACTAAGGCAACAAATTGTTCTTCTGTGTGGTAAACCAGTTTGTTAACTATGTGCTATGTGTGCTGGAGCCCCTTCTTGCTGGAAGATGTATTGCTTGCTTCTGCCATACAATTGCCTTGTCAATGGAATCAAATGTGTTTTAAGTGTGTTTTTGTAGGTATATTGGTTGATATGGCCATTGTACAGCTCACAAAAATCAAGGCCTTTGTGGGAAAAACATCCCCATATGCCTACTGAGCCTCTGCCACCTTGTTGTCTTGCTTGTAAATAGCCCTCGCATGATGTTTCACTTGCAAATCCTTTAACTTAACTTCTTCATTTGTAGTTCACAACCTGAAAATTTGGCTCATTGAATTCTTTGTACCATTTTTGTTTTTTGCATTGGTCTATGATTGACAGGGTAGGCTTTCTTATTGCAATGTAAGACCCAATACTTTTTTGCTAATGTTCTTCTAGCAAGTTCCTTTGCTTACATTTCATTTAGAAAATGATTGGTTGAATATTTGAGTTAGCTTTCTGTTGCTGAGACTAGGATTTTTTCTACTGGTTCTGAATATGCTGTGTTTGTCTCCATTACTAAGCTTCAGTGGTCTTCAAGAACAAAGCATTCTAACAATGTTACCTGTTAGCTCCCAGGTTTTCACTGTTTTTCACATGCAAAATTCAGAAACACCCATAAGTTTATTAATTTCAATGTTGTTATGATTCTTTAATTTGACCAGTCCAATAATTTGCCGTTTGATGCTCTCTGACACTGCTTTTCTACCCATTTGCAAGCGAATTGAAATTTAAAACATTGCAGTTATTCTTTAGATAATTTTTTCAATTAAAATTTTTTTTGTAATTTTAAAATATTTTTTTATTTAAGAATCATGAGTACTCTTTATATTTATTATCTATAGCGGTAATAAAGTATAAGAATGAGTTATCAAGTGTGAAAAATGTATAATTTACTCGATTAAACTTTTATGTTATCAGTAAAATATACTGTTTAATTAATTTTAATTAATTTTAGTGTAATATGTGTGAATATTTTTTTTGTCTATTTTGTCAACAAACATAAAAAGCATAACACAAAAAAAAAAAAAACTAAAAATCTATATCAATTAAACTTTGATGTTAGGAAAACTGGTATATAGTTATGAAAACTATATACCTCCACTAAACTTTTGTGCATAGCTGTGTGTATATATATATATATATATATATATATATATATATATATATATATATATATATATATATATATATATATATATATATATATATATATATATATATATATGTGTACAGCTATCAGTGGTGTATACTGGATATATATATATATATATATATATATATATATATATATATATATATATATATATATATGTGTACAGCTATCAGTGGTGTATACTGGATTTTTAAATGTTTGAGTTTTGACACTTACAGGCATTGTGCTAACTCCAAACTTTTGTATTTTCATTCTTATGTCAAATAAGACTGTTTTGCATAGAATTAGAGCGGTGATTAGAGTTTGGGAACAAAAAGATCCTAATTTATAGGCCCACCCAGCCCTTAACATGGGAGCAATGAGTTTGTAAAATATTTTCTTTACTATTTTTATCTAAATTTGTATTCATCAACAAATTTTAAGTTTTTTGCAATAATCTCTTAGTGTTCAGTTTTTATGACCCTGCAAGGTTTACAGCCCCCTCAAACTTAGGGGGGTTAAAACTTATATGGTTATAACTTTCGTAAATAATCATAAACTATATGGCTTTTAAAAAATAAGACTATGCACATATATGCGCATAGTCTAATTATTCTAAGGCTATGCATATGTGTGTGTATATATATATATATATATATATATATATGTGTGTGTGTGTGTATATATTTATATATATATATATATATATATATATATATATATATATATATATATATATATATATTTATATATATAATATATATATATGTACATATATATGCATATGTATCTATATTAGGGCTGTACCGGATTTAATTTTTCCAAATCCGGCCGGAGCCGGATTTGCCGGATTTTTACTAACAGACCCGGCCGGAATCGGAGCCGGAGCCGGATTTTGAAGCAAAACTACAGGAACCAAAATCCTGTTTATCCCTACTTGGTGTTGAAAATAGTCAACAATGTTGACTATTTAGATCACCAAGTGACAGTTCCCGACGGGCATTTCTTTTTAAAAGTTACGATCTAAATGTATTTTAAATGTCTTTTAAACGTCTTTTAAACATTAATGTTTAAAAGACGTTTAAAAGACATTTAAAACACATTCAGAACGTAACTTTTAAAAACAAATGCCCGTCGGGTTGTTTTCTATTAAACATCATTTTTGTTGTTTAAAAGTTTTATAGCAATTTCTATAGAAATTAATAGACATTTTATATAAATTTTATAGAGTTTCTATAGGCCATATGTTTCAAAAATTTAGAGAAAT